CCGCTCATCCCCCCCGAGTCCGGGGCTCTGCATGTACATACTCGGGCCTGGTGGGGTAAGGTGTCAGCCATCGCCCACAGAGGAGGAGCTCTTGATGGCTGGTCAGTACATTCACTCTGTGACACCTTGCTCAGCATACCCGCCATGCTTTTTAACATTCACAGGGGGGACTTCTCAAAACTGGAGCAGTTACCCATGGCAACCAATCAGCTTCTCTCTTTCATTTTCACACCTTTAAACCTTCATTCACATGGGTAACGACCGGCCCATACAGATCCGTGCAGCAAGGACAGGTGCTGTGTGTGTTATACGCAGCGGCCTATCCTTTTCTATGGGAGTACGCGGCCGTACGCCGCCTTTGCTCACCCGACCTGCATGTCCGTGCGGGTGTCCGTACTCGTACGCTGACAGGATGGATCAGGGACCCGTACGGACGTGCAGGTCGGGTAAGCGTAGGGCCGCGTATGGCCACGTACTCCCATAGAGAAGAACAGGCTGTTGCATATCAATCGCACGCAGCACGTGTCCTTCGCGGGAGCTTCCCGATACGCCGCACGGATCCGTACGTGCCGCCCGTTACCCGTGTGAATGAAGGCTTAATCAACTCTTCATGGTTTCTTGAGGTTTCTAGTCACACCTCTGCTAAGAATGTTAGTTTTTCCCCATTCCCACACAGATGGTTAACTCTCAGAGAATGAATGCAGTTGCGATGGATTAATATGCTATGTTAATTTTTTATAAATAGACCCTATCGTTGTGCATTAGAAGCAAACATTGCGCACATGATGGCTCCAGGTGTCCACTAATAAAACATCTCCTATTGGCTGGTCTTGGTGCTGTTTTTTTATTGGTCTCCTATACACATTTACAATCATTGGATGTCATTAGCAGTGCACTGTTAAGGTGCCCATACACCTTACGACCATCGCAAGACTTTTGTCTTGCGATGGTCGTATGCTCATTAAAAGCCCGTACGATCTGCCCACCTTGGACGGGCAGATCGTACTTGCGATCATCGGAAGCCCGCCCCGCTGAGGGGCATGCAGAACGGGCAGTGTGCGCGTGCGCGCACCGGCCCGTTCCGCAGCTATCGGACTAGCAGGCTAGAAACCCGCCGAGAATCGTACGATTCTCGGCTGGTTTTCAAGCATGTTGGCTCGACAAAAGACGTGCGACCGTACAGTAGAAACGGTCGCACGTCTTAGTTCACACTGCTCGATTCTCGTACGATCGCGGGATTTCGCCCGATTCTCGTACGAGAATCGAGCAGTGTATGGGCACCTTTAGCCTTACTTATTATTCACAATTGGAACATGGACGCTCCCTGTAAGGGCTGGGAGAAAGCTACATGGTGGTTACATAGGTGGTCATGGTGGTAAGCAACCTTGGCACTCCAGCTGTGCTGAGACTACAAATCCCATCATGTCTCTGCCTCGGATGTCTGTTGCTGTCAGTCTTGCAATGGATTTGTAATCCTGCTAGAGTGCTGAGGTTGCCTACCCCAGGTCTAGGACTATTTATAAACCTAAATGCTCAGATTGCATGAGTGTGCATGTTTATGGCTACAGAAGAGGTAGGTGACTCTGGAGTTGGTTTTTCAGGGGAAAACAGAAACAGCCTTGAAACCGAACATCTGTTTATAGGCATTTGAACCCTCTCCTATGTCTGTAGGTACCTTTTTGAATTTTGGCATTTCTTATGCTATAGAACATGCCTGACTTCTTAACCACTTCCAGCGGGTTCACGTAAATGCATGTCCTCCACTGGAAGTGATTATACCAAGAACACGGCTGTTGCTGCAGCTGCGTTCTTGGTACCGTTTTATACAGCAGACGTTTACTGTTTAAATGCAAGCGAACTGGCGTCTGTACAAGCGCTGGATCACTTGTACGGCGCAGTGGGTCTCCCCTGACAGATCGGAGGGAGATCATCCGTGGATCTCTCCTCCGATCACTGGACCCGGAAGTGATGTGTATTGCATGACTTCCGGTGTCACTGTACACAGTCTCCGGCTCCTAGAGGCAGAAGAAGAAGCTGATGAAGCAGATCTCTGCTTCATCAGCTTCTTTGGGGTCCATATGTGACATTAGACCCCTAATGTCTCTATAAAGTGGACCTGTCACATATTTGCTATTACATAGGGGGCTTGTAGTTTTTTGCGGTTTCACGTACGCACGCAATTTAAAGGCTTGACATGTTTGGTATCTATGTACCCGGCGTGACCCCGTCTTTTATATTTTACTAAAAAATTGGGTATTATATTCTGTTTCTGTGCACTAAATTTCCTTTTAGTGTATGTTATCCTAAAAATACTTGTTTGATAAACATTTGCACAAATACCGTGCAACACCAAAAATTGCAACTAACATCTTTTTATTCTACAGGGCCTCTGCATCCAGAAAATATATCATCGTTTGGGGATCTGAAGCTGTTTTCTAGCCAAAAAAGTCAGATTTTATCAATTGTGTGTGCAAATGTAAGTAATTGCTCCGGGCAGCAAGTGGTTAAAATCCATATCTAGCTTTAAATGGAAAACAAACCATATTGCCCGGTTGTTTTACAATAAAAAAAAGTAGTGATCGCGGCAATCATCATCTCCTGTTTGGAGCTGTCCCTGAACACATTCTGTCGGGTCACATGTCTGGGTTGAATGACGGCCTTTCTTGTGAGCTCAGGACGTCATGGGCACATCCCTCTCAGTGTATGTCATCACTTTGGGTTTACAGGAGAATACTGCAGAGGATGGAAATTAGGTCATTAGGTGAGTGCTATTCTCTGCAGCATTCAGGACCCCTCACCCTGCCAGAGGAGAGACGAGAGCATGACCTGCAATGTAACCGGACAGAAGACAAAAGATATTTACACTAGAGCTGCAACAACTAATCGACATAATCGATTATAATCGATTATTGGAAAAGTATGCATTTGTATTCCTCTATAGCTGATGGTACATTCTGCTGTATATTATACATGGGAACACAAATCCCAGCAATACATTGTACGCTGTATGTATAATGTATTGCTGGGATTTGTTGTATTCCTCTATAGCTGGTGGTATTCTGCATTGCGCTGTATAGAGGACTACGAATCAAAGGAATAATACATTATACAGCACAGTGCGGAATACCACCAGCTATAGAGGACTACAAAACCCAGCAACAGTACATTATATAGCGCAATGCAGAATACCGCCAGCTATAATGTACTATTGCTGGGATTTGTTGTAGTCCTCTATATCTGATGGGTCACTCTAAAGCTCCACACACCTTACGATCTGATTGTACAATCCTTTAGATCTATGGCGTGCCTGATTTGGATAGTTTAGTTATGTGTATTGGTAAATCTAAAGTGTATTGCACAAAGATTGTACGGTCAGATTGTAAGGTGATGATGACCCTTAGGCTGATGTCACACTCGTGACCTTATCAGGATCGCTGTATGCAGGACAATTGTACAGAGCACTCCCTGGATGAGTCGACACTGACGAGTGACATTCTGTAGTGTTTCCTCCTCACTTATCCCGGCAGCGATGGAGCAATACATGGAGGTGGGGGAGTGTTTTACTATCCTTTTTAGCAATCCTGTCAGTGGTGAGTTGTTGCCATTGACGAGATCGCAGTTGTGACACAAGTCCTGAAGACAATCAAATTAATTTTGTCCTCCTTTTTCCTCAAAGAATTTGAGTTACCATGTAACATGTACACCTTGTAGACAAACACTTGGGTTTTCATAGCCTAAGAATTATTTAGTTTTAATCTCCTTGACCTACCTGATCCTATCTGATAATATTTACATATGGATTTATTATTTATTTTACTCTAAATAAGGGGGGAGTGTATTTTATTTGTGTGTGGGGGGTTAATAAGAGGGGGGGTGTATTATTTTATGTGTGCAGGAGGGAATTTTATTATATTTGTGCAAGGGGGGGTGTAACGTTGAAGGGTTTTAGTATATGCGTATATTAGGCCCCAATCACAACTACAGTATATTTCAGGTGTGATGAGGGATTCCTGCGTCAGGAACTTGCGTTTTCCTGCAGCAGGAATCCCTAATCTGCTGTTTACAAGCGGCAACTATCATAAGATAACAATTATCATAAGATTATTTAAGAGGGTGTGTTTAGGGGCGGAGTTAAGGCCGGGTAAGGGTTAGGTGGGGTAACTGGTGGCGAGTAACTCTTAAGGCCTGGCTAGTAACTCATTTTGAGCCGTGTGTACATACATACATACATACATACATACATACATACATACATCTATCTCGATCTTGAGATATATATCATGGACACAGATGTCTGCTTTATTCTCCTGTTGGCCCATTATGAGCTGATAACACACCCTCAAGTGATATGTCATGACACTCTGGGCTCATGGGAAGTGAGTTGAATATTCTGGCCATTACTCACACTGGAAGAGAGGTGTCAGAGGTCTGCTATAAGATGCCCTGGATGGAGCTGTGTGAAGGGGGTGGAGTCAGTTATCTGACTCTTTCAATTGTGTGGGTAAATTCCAGATTGAGTTACTGGGGTATAGCAACAAAAGGCTTTTATTTTTTATACAATAAAGTGAACCTGTGCACTCCACACTTTGGCCTAATCTCTGCGCCATTTTCTCTTTCCTTCGACTTGTCTCAACATATGGATCTTATTCTCTCAACCTATGCTGTATATCTAGATATTAGTTAGTTAGAGGTTATAATTTGTAACTCCATTTATGCTTAAATATTATCTCCTTGGCAATTGACCCAACCCAAGTTCCCCCCCCCATCCCTACAAGACACAAATAAGGACATGTCTGTATTGTGCACCTATTCTATTCCAGTGAAATGTTACTGTTAAGAAATATTATTGTACAAGAAAACAATTGTACTAGTTGTATTGTGGAGAATGCAGTTTGAACAGAATAATCTTTGTTTAGTAAGACATAGAAAGCAATAGAAGAAATGTGCTGCAGTTAAGTGCCATTGCCAGTTACTAACTTGTATTCTTTTATTTCAGTGCCTTGTTACTTTCATGGCCCCATCTTCAGATGACAAGGTCCATTCTTCTTCATGGTCACTTACTCCAGTGCTTTCCCCAGAAGAAGAAGAAGAACTTAAGGAGTATGAGTCAGGAAACATCAGCCCACCACTGTGCCTGTATTTTGCTGCTCGAATTATAGACAAAAGGCAAATTTCTCGGTTGTCCCAGGTGCTTTCTTTGGAATACCCTCTTCCAGATGGCATGAAACACCTGAAGAGAGTTCGGGCTCAGCTGCCTCATCTTGAGATCCTGCTTTGTCCTGCCACAGTAGAGGGGAAGATTAACTTTTCGAAAGATGGCACTGCCAACCGTGCTGAAAACAATGAGGCTTGCCGCTCAGAAATTAATGTAAAGGCTGGTGACACAACTCAGGTGCCTTCACTTACAGAAATTTTCAAAGATGGCCCCATCGAATTAAGTGGTTTGGGGGAACCGTTTGTGGTTTCAGTCCCATTGCGTGCAGCAAGGAATCGTAAGGAGCAGCAAGTCTGGGCAGGTATTTGGCCTAGCACTTACCATGCAAAGCCTAAGACAGTGAACCTGGAAGAAGCCTGTCATGGAGGAGGAGTGCCTGATGAGGAAAAGTTAAGAATTGGTGGTCACATGCGCAGGGCTGTGGAAGCTGCACAGTGGAACCAGGCTAGAGGAGGGAAAGGTATTGGCGCTGTTGTGGTAGACCAGGAAAGTGGGAACGTTTTGGCAGTAGGGACTGATCAAACTGGAGAAAAGGGAGGGCCGCTGCTTCATGCTTGCATGGTGGCAATAGACATGGTGGCCCGCCAACAAGGAGGAGGTGCGTATGAATGTCTTGTTGGACTGGAAATTGAGCAACAAATCAAAAAGTACAATGTAACCACAAAGGCTGGGGAGCAAATGGGGGATGAGAGGGAGAACAGGAAGCGTACAAAAGAAAACACTGGACATTGTAATGGAGAGTTGCCATACTTATGTACTGGGTATGAAATATACGTGACACATGAACCTTGTATCATGTGTTCCATGGCGCTTCTCCATTCTCGTGTGTCCTGCGTGTACTATGGATGTCGCTCCCCTGGAGGTGCACTGGGAGCTTTCTACAGACTTCACTGCAGCCCTGGCCTTAACCACAAGTTCCTTGTTTTCCGAGGGGTGATGGAAAATGAGTGCCAAGCTCTGGTTTCTGGGGCAGAAATATGAACTTTATCTTCTCGAACCAATCACCATAACTGAAGGCAGCTTTGTGGGGGAGCTAATTTTTTTAAATTGTTCCAGAGCTGTTTGGTGGAAACAAAGAGTGAGGTGAAGGTAGTGTGTATATGACACCTACATGTCCCCATATTGTCATGGCCACTTCTGTAACTGGGCAGAGAATTCCCATAGATTGCTGGAATAGAGGTAAATCAACTTACTCATCCTTCACCTCCTACTAAACCCAGCTTTGAGTGCACTTGCCCTAACCTTTTACAACTTTTAGTAACCTTGTTTTAAAATTGTTTTATTTGTATTACCTTTCAGATCTTTCATTGTGTCTTGTATTTTATTAGTAAAGGCTGAGGGGAACAAAGCTTAGGAATGAGGAAAGAAATTATTTTGACCATTTTATATTAGTGCTTGTCTGAGTCAGGCATACAATCTAACCCAGGGGTGCCCAAAAGGTTGATCGCGATCGCAAGTTGGTATTAGCTGCTCCGTTTATGTGGGAGCTCAGCTGCTGGTGGCCGGGTGCAGTTTGATGTATTGGCCAGCAGGTGGCGCTATGTTCTGGCACTGCCGCTGACACTGGAAGCCGTGACTCAGCATGCAGCAGCTACTCTGGGGGAATCTGAGAGCTGATCCCTTGGGGGACACAAATCCTACACAGGCCTGGGCAGGGTGAGTGGTGGTCTTTATCAGAGAGAGGGGGCATTGTGTACCACAGCCTGTTATTACCCACTGTACACAGCCGTGTACCCCACTTAACAGACTGTGCCCCCACCTACAGACTGTGCCTCCAGCTAAAATGACTGTGCCCCCTAGGGTCGCCACCTTTTCTTCAAGTGAAACCCGAACACTCTAGCAACGCGCGGACATTTTTTAGGGGGAATAAGTCACAGCTTATTCACATGTAAATAGCGCCGCCCATTCATATATAAATATCACAGTGGAGAGTATTTTCAGTGGGGGGCCAGTGGCCCCTATCTTAATTTTGGTTGCCCCTATCTGCCTGGCATCTTGTGTCCGGGTTTCTGCTGCCATGAAACCTGGACACAGCATTCAAAACCCGAACTGTCCGGGTGAATCCTGGACAGGTGGCAACCCTAGTGCCCCCACCTAACACACTAAGATTAGGAGCATTAGGGTTTTTTTGTTTTTTTTTTTAATGATAGGTAATAGGTTTTATTTTACCATTATAGGTAATAGTCCCATAGTTGACCTCCTCCGATAAGAGTGCTAGGTCTAACTAAGGGCCCATTCATAATAGTACAGTGCGTTCATCTGGTGAACCAGCGACAAGGTTATGGGCAGCCAAGGCTTACTGATGAATTTAGGGAGCAAAGGTTGGCTTGTGCAGTCCAAACCAATAGAAGAGCTACTGTAGCTCAAATTGTTGAAAATGTTAATGCCGGTTCTGATAGAAAGGTGTCTGAACACACAGCACATCACAGTTTGTTGCATATGGGGCTGTGTAGCCGTAGACTAGTCCAGTTGTCATTCCCTGGTTTTGTTAGTGTGGTGATCACTATTTCTATTGTCAAATTGGCAAGCATGCAGACTGCTCTCTGATCAGTTTAAAGCCTGAAGACATGTAATAGGAATGAGAATGGAAAAATGAGAGAGGGAGCAGCCTATCATGGCCAGGTGTGAGTTGACGTGTTGTCTAGACCTTGTCAATTTGTTAATATATTTGCCAGGCCCTGATCACGTCTATGGTCTTGTCATTTTGAAAGTTGCTGTACACACTCCAGAAAGCAGCTATATGTGAGACTTTCTGACCATGTGCCAGTGATTCACCGTTTCACCCCACATTCAGGTTTACTTTGGACAAGCTTGCCATAAGCCAACACATGTGGTTCTGGCGTACCTGTCCATGGAATAAAGGATGATAATCTGAAAGTCTAAAAGTGAGTTGGCATGTAAAGCATAATTAAGCTGCAGATTGGGATTGTAATCGGGTATCTAAACCAAAAAATAGATTGCAGCTTACTGCTCCTTAGACGTTGTGGCTGCATTAGGTTTTTTTTCTTTTTCAAGTTTTCTTTTATTTTTACCTGGTGATTCTGCCAGTAACACTTCCTGTGGTCATCACCCAACCATGGTCATCACCCAAGGACAGGACTACAAAGACCTCCTCCTGTTCTCTTCTCCATAACATAGTTAGACTGGTTCTGTAGCCTTCAAAGATGAATTTACCAGACAAAAAGGCGAAGTTCATTATTAGGTTTTACGTACCCTTTAATGGAAGAGTTGGCTATAGCCTCAAAGTGACATTAACCCCTTTGTGACTGATGACGTACAGTGTACGTCGCCAGCATCGGGGCTGTTTAAACAGACTCCCGGTGACTTTTGCCGCCGGGACCCTGTTTAAACTTGTAGAGCCGACTGTCGCCAGATCGCTTCTGTGTCCCGAAGAAGGGGCCCCCCCCGCCGGACACCCCCGCCGTGCTTCACGGGCTCAGTTGCCCCTCCTACGGGCCCAGGACCGGCAATCTTGGTGTCCGCGGGGAGCTGAGGAGGAGGTCGACCAACTTCCGTTCATCGATCCCCTCCCCGTTCTATGGGACCGGGACCGATAAAACATTTTTCCCTCCCCCCCCCAATGTTAATGTCAGCACTTGCCTTAAATGATGTCTCTTAATCCGATCTTCTTCTTCTTCTTTCCCCATGTTTTATCTGTCCCTCCAGCGGTGCGGCGGCTCTCCGATCCAGCGTTGACTCTGTCCTTGCTGGCGTTCTCTGCGTCCAGGGCAAGTAGGGCCATTGGACACGGAGAAGTAAGGGAGGGTTGACAAGCGGACAGATTCAAGGGCAAGCGGGATCTTTCTGCCATTAAGCATGGCAGAGCGTCCTGAGACTAAATCTGTTTGGTTGGGAGAAACAAGATTAGATAACAAAGATGATGGACAGTTTGCCATCATTTTGGAAAATACCTCAGCGTCCCGGTTGAGCAAAGAAATCGGGCGGTAGGATCCTGGTAAAAGTGGGTCCTTCCCCTTTTTGGGAATCAATCTTATATAGGCTTCATTGAAAGTAGGGGTGGTATGTACCGTGATGGAGGATATGGTTAAACAGTGTAAGGACTTTTGGGGTTGCGTCTTCATTTAGTATTTTGTCTCGGGGAGGATCTAAGGACCTTTTTGTAGTTCTAACAACTTGACATCGGCATTGAGCATTTGTAAATTGTCAGCTGACAGTGAGGGTAAGGAAACTGAGTTAAGGAATCTTTCCCCTCCACAAGGGTCACCCACCTCTGCTTTATATAGTTTTTGGTAGTAGGCGCTGAAAATGGCAGAAATGTTTTCAGGATTCGTATGAACCTTACCCTCCGAGTCAGCCATTTGAAGTACATGGGGAGTGGGTTCCCCTGACCAAATTTGCCAAGAGCCTGCTGGACTTGTTACCAAATTTAAATCCACATCCTTCACTGACCTGATTTGTTGGTTCATATTGTCTAAGCCAAGTATCACATTGTTGCTTGGACCATAGCCAGTGAAACCTATTCTAGGAAGTCGTAGCTTGCTTGTAAGAGATGTAGGCATCCCTGGCTAGCGTACAAGCCTCGGTGTATTTTAGTTTTTTTTTTTTTTTTATGAGTGGACACATAGGCCGGTATCCTACCGCGGAGAACAGCTTTTGCTGTTTGCCAAAACAAAACTGGATTGTCAAGGTGAGCAGAGTTGTGGTCCATGTAGTGTTTCCAGCAAATTTTTAGGTCAACCTGGAAAGAATCATCTGAGATGAGGGAGGCCGGAAATCTCCAGGTAACAGGCCTGGTGGTGAGATCTAGGTTGTGAAGAGACAACACAACTGGGGAATGGTCCGAGATAGTGATGCACCGATACTAGTATCGGTGCCGATACCGAGTATTTGGGTGAGTACTCGTAATGGTGCATCCCTAGTCCGAGATGAGCATATTTTCAATTTCGATAGATTGAACTTTGGTCACCAGATTAGAAGTAGTGAGAAAGAAATCTATACGTGACATAACATTATGAGGATGGGAGAAAAATGTAAAGTCTCTCGAGGGGATGCATGAATCTCCATATGTCTGTCAATCCGCTGGTTTGACTCATGGAGGCAATGTTTCTGTCTTGAGGGCTAGTGGTGAGTCTAGACCAGGGGTGGCAAACTCAAATTCATCGGGGGCCGCATCAGCAGTATGGTTACCCTCAAAGGGCCGGTTGTATAGGAGATACGTGTCCATCTGAGCGATCTTCCTTGGGGGATGGCACAGCATTGAAATCTCCACCTAAGATCATTCGCGTGGATGGTGCTTGCGAGGAGATGGAGGAAAGCAGGAGATCAAGAAATGGTCGGTTGTCCATATTGGGCCCATAGACGTTCCAAATGTCCAGGTCGTTGGTGCCCACGCTGATTGTTATGTGAGACCATCTCCCAGTGTGCTTCTTGAGCCACTGCTTTGTTGCCTTGGCGGTATGTTTTGGGTCCTTGTCATGCTGAAAGACCCATCCATGGGTGTTCTTCAGTGATCTGGCTGAGGGAAGGAGGTTCTCATCCAAGATTTTACAATACATGGCCCCGTCCCTGGGCCCCTCAATGCGGCAAAGTCGGCATGTACCTTTAGCAGAGTAGCAGCCCCAAAGCATAATGTTTCCACCTCCGTACTGGACTGTAGGGATGGTGTTCTTGGGTCATAGTCAGATTTTTTTCTTCCTCCAAACACGACAAGTCGAGTTAATGCCAAAGAGCTCAATTTTGGTCTCATCTGACCACAGCACTTTCTCCCAATCCTTCTCTGAATCATTTAGATGTTCATTGGCAAACTTCAGACTGGCCTGTACATGTGCCTTCTTGAGGAGAGGGACCTTGTAGGTAGGGCTGCAACAACTAATCGACATAATCGATTATTGAAAAAGTTGTCAACTTATTCAATCATCGATTAATCGGCTTCCCTTTCGCTGTCCATATAATATTTTGTTGTAACAATAAACCTTTGAATATAGAGTGGATACACAGTTTGGTGTGACTGTTTATTTCCAAGTACTTCTCTGA